TTGCAAGCAGGGAATTCAACTCAGCGATGACATTCGGGAAATCCGGAACAACTTAGGCAACTATCCCTTCTCTTAACTCTTAGCATATAGTATAATATGTCGGTAGAATATTGATTGGACTGTGCTCTTTTCTCCCACCTCTTTGCTTTTGAGGATGCAAGGGGCAGCGACAAATCTCACCTTTCCGACTCATCTTCCATGAATGTACTGGCTCTTTCTGTCCGTATGAGTGGCCAGTTAGTTGATAGCATAACGTTATGCTCAGCCTTGCGTACGTTATTTCTGTAGAAGGACGTACTCAGTGGAGACAAAGACATTTCTGACAAAGCTTTCCCGAGTCGTTCCCGAGTAAACTCAGTTAGCAGGGCAGTTGCATCGTCCTTGGGTAGGCCATTCATCTTGACTGTCTTTAGAGTACAGGGTTACTCGCGTTAGAAGTTGGATGGCGAGACGGGAGGTGACAAAAACAATTGGCGGGTTGGGAAGCAGATGGCACAGAAAGCTGTTATCGGCGGTGCGAAGGAGAATTAATAAGGTGTGAGAGCGATATTGAAAGGGGCCAGCTTATTTCAGTCCTTCAATTCTCGGGATTGGGGCACAGACAAACCAACAGCTCCAGTCCGCTGCACAGAGTAGGGAAGATATTAGGCATCCCATGGTTACGACCTGGCTGATTTCGTTTATGCTTAGATAAGAGAGACAAGTTGTTTGCTTGCGGTACTAGCATCGCTATCTCAGTTCAGGGAAGCCGTAGCTCTTTCGCGCGGATGCTGGCCCGGGCCAGCATCCGCAGAGGCCATCGCTTTAGCTCGCGCGATCGAGGTGGCAATGGATGTCCTGATTGGTCCTAGCTCTGCGGACAAGAAGCTCGCCTGGTCTCTTTCGGCTTTCAAGTCTCCGGACGTGCCTGGGTTTGAGTCAATCGCCTTTCGGGTAGAGGCACAAGCAAATGGACGCTGGAAAATCTTTTCTGACGAGCTTGAAGCTGTGCTTTCGTTGTGGCTTTATTTCGTCCACAAACAGGAAAACAGCGTTGAAAGCAAGGAAGAAGAGCAGAATGAGATTGCCAAGGACGACGCGTGGTTGCGGACCAAGGGAACGCTAGCAAAACCTAGCCTCCGACTTCTAGGCTCACATACGGCGGCTCTGTATAGAGATCTTCGGTGGTGGATGCCTGATGGTGCTGCCAGAGTCATCGAAGTTAACGAACCGGAAACTAACGACAGGATAATGGAGGTCGAGAGCCATCGAGTTGTCGGATTTGCGTCCAATGCCAGGGCTAACCCTTCGGATGTTATCTACTAGTACAAGCGGAAGTCCCCAGAATCCCCGCGTAGGGACGCCCCCCTGGCCGTCGAATCATACAGTTCTTTGAAGACATTGTACGGCCAACACATGTTCACCGCTTTCATGTGGTCCGCGGCAAAGACGATGGGGAAGCCGATGAAAGACGGGGCAGATGTACGACCCACTGAGAAAGACGGTGTGAGTGGCGATTCGGCGTGGAAGTCGTTTGCATTGCACAATGCCCAGCTTTCCAAAATGGTCCAAGACATCCAAAACACCGGGCTTGGAAGTCTGGAAGATGTCTACCTATGCGTCATTCCACCACTGAGCATGGAGAACAGACTACCACGAGCCGATGCCATCATCGAATGGGCGCGTGCAAAGGCGAAGCCACACGAGCTGTTGGGGCGCTGGAAGAAGGCTGGGGATGCATACCTGTGGCTTTTCCGAAACGCGAAGACGTTCCCAGGGCAAGACGACATTACCACCAAGGCCACTGCCCTCTTAATGGAATATCTGAGGGCTGTCACCAATGCGATCGGGCTAAGGAAAGCCCAACTGTTTGAGGAGAATGACATCCAGGACCTAGAGGAGTTGAAGACCGACATTTTGAAGGAGCTGCAAGGGGGCAGTGTAAAAGATGTGTTAAGGGGCATTATGGGGTTGTACGACATGCAGGGCCGTTCTTGGGTATGTGAGTTGGTTGAAGACTCCAATCCTCCAAAAGGCAAAGACACGGTCCTCAAGTTCACAGAACTTCACATGGCGGCGGCTCAACACGACAGATGGTGGGATATTGAAGGAGCGATCAAGGAAAGCAATGGTAAGGTGAACGAGAAAGATATCCTGGACTGGACACCACTCCACTACGCAGTCAGAAAGTCAACCTCCCGGGTTGTGCAAAAACTTCTAACCAACGGAGTTGAGGTCAACGCACAGGACATCCGTGGGCAAACACCATTACATTATGCTGCTTGCCGGCAAGACGGCGCTTCGATCATACACGATCTCCTACGGAAAGGCGCGGAGATCAACATACGAGATGTCGATGGAATAGCGCCATTACACAATGCAGCGATCCATGGCAGCTGCGAGGCAATGCGATCACTGATTGAAGCAGGGGCGGACATAGACGCCGTGGATGGTCTAGGATACACTCCGCTGCATTGGGCTGCATTCCGTCAACGAGGAGGCATAGACAAGCATTTGGAATATGTGAACATAAACTTGCGCGACCACAATGGCAGAACTGCCCTGCATTTGGCGGTGATAGCAGAGGAAAATACTGCTACGGAGGGTGAAACTATTGCGACAGAGGATGTCGTCAAGGCACTCATCGGAATGAAGAGTGATAAGGACGTGAAAGACAGGTATAGTCGGACGCCGTTGCACTATGCCGCTACCAAAGGGCATGAAGTCTCGGTCAGGTACCTCATCGAGAAGGCGAAAGCGGACAAGGAGGCCAAGGACAACAATGGCGGGACGTCGCTGCACTGGGCTGCTGCCAACGGGCATGAAACTATTGTGAAATACCTCATCGAGCAGGCGAACGCGGACAAGGAGGCCAAAGACAACAATGGCGGGACGCCGCTGCACTGGGCTGCTGCCAACGGGCATGAAGCTATTGTCAAATACCTCATCAAGCAGGCGAACGCGAACAAGGAGGCCAAGGACAACGATGGCGAGACACCGCTACACTGGGCTGCTAGAACCGGACGGGAAGACATTGTCAAGTACCTCATCGAGCAGGCGAACGCGAACAAGGAGGCCAAGGACAACAATGGCATGACGCCGCTGCACTGGGCTGCTGCCAAAGGGCATGAAGACATTGTCAGGTACCTCATCGAGCAGGCGAACGCGAACAAGGAGGCCAAGGACAACGATGGCGAGACACCGCTGCACTGGGCTGCTGCCAACGGGCATGAAGACATCGTCAGGTACCTCATCGAGCAGGTGAACGCGGACAAGGAGGCCAAGGACAACAATGACGAGACGCCGCTGCACTGGGCTGCTAGAACCGGACGGGAAGACATTGTCAGGTACCTCATCGAGCCGGCGAACGCGGACAAGGCGGCCAAGGACAAGACATCGTCAAGTGCGGGAAACATTGCGACGTGACATCTACAGTCTTGGCATTCCTGGATTCCCCATCGACAGAGTCAGAATACCCGACCCAGATACGCTAGCCGCAGTACGGTACTCGTGTGTTACTGGATCGACCATCTGCGTAAACGTAACCCCAAGAACGTGAACAGGGATCTCTAGGATGGCGGATCAATCGATACCTTTCTATGCGAGAAGTATCTTCACTGGCTCGAGGCCCTTAGCCTTCTCAAGAGCACATTAGAAGGAGTAGCTTCAATGCTGGGTGCCACTGGACTGGCTGCCAAGGGCCCACGGACGGCACACTTACCTGCCCGTCGGGTTTCAAGATCATGACAAGCCGCTACGACGACGGCACTGGCCAGCTGTGCTCCGTGTCGGTCGGCGCGCACGACTCGTACGTGTTGTACGAGCAGGCGTACTGCTGCCCGGACAACCGACGTGCCGCAGAACTGCAGCTGGACGTTCGACATCGGGACCACGTTCAATCCCCAGAAGACTTGCACGCCCACGGTGTGCCCGGCGACGATAGTGCGGTACACGACCGCGCTAGACCCGCCCAACCCGTACAAGGACATAGACAGCCTGGGCGGCGTGGACTGCTCCGCGTACCAGCCGCTGCCCAACCGAGACCCGAACTGGTCGTACTGCTGCGACCCGCCCGAGGACTACAACGGCAACTGGCCGGTCAACCCGTCGCCTCTAGGCGAGCCCGGACGAGGAGACAGGGGCCGACATCCTGTAGGCGTATTAGGACGACTACGGCAGCAACGACGGGCAGTCGTCGCCGGGCGGAGACGCCTACGGCGACGATTTCACCAACATGCTCGACTACTGGACCGACGTGACCGACACGCCGGCCAAGGCCCGCCGCGAGCTGCAGACCGGACAGTCTCTCGCGTATCATGAGTGGCGGCATAAGGTGAGCCGGGCCAAGTCGTCGCACGACCGCATGCGCCGGCGGCAGGCCGACATGGTGTCGGGCGCCGTCACGCGGCTCGACAAGCGCGACAACGAGGTGACATCCGAGTCGCCGCGAGCCAAGCGCTGGTTCAGCTCCTTCATCAACTGGCTCTCCAAGATCACGACGGTCGGGAAGAGCAACGCGGGCTTTCTGACTATGGCAGTGCAGAAGAGCGTCCTGCTGAACCGCGCCTTCGTCGGCTGCTCGCGCACCAACGCGCACATGAGCATCTACCTGGACGCTGAGGCCGCTATGGATGCCACCTACGCCTACTACTGCTCGGGTGCCCTAGGCGGCGTCGTGCCCACCGCCACGTACGCATACTTCGCCATGCAGCCGTACATGTACCTGGGCCTGACCGTCACCGACGGCGCCCGCCTCGAGTACCGCAGCCCGCGCGCCAAGCTTCTCCCGACCCTGTCGTATCCAGGCCTGGCCATCAAGGGGCTCGCTGCCGTCGGGCCCACGCTCGACGTGTGGGGGCAGACCATCTGCGTCGTGCAGATCAGCGGCACTATGCAGGCCGGCGCGCGCTATACCTTCGAGCAGGCCGAAATATACTGGCCCGACGACGGCGCGGCCGCCCCTGTGCTGCAGGGCCTGGTCGGTGACACCGCCGAGCCGGTCGCGTCCGGCCTGGCGCCCGAGTTCCAGGCCGCCGTCCCGGCCTATGTCGACCTCGACATCAACGTCACACCCGAGGCCCACCTGGGCATCCAGATCGGCGGCGGCTCCGCCTTCGGCGTCACCCTGTTCGATGCCCAGGTGGTCGGCTACGTCAACAACACTCTGCGCTTCCACGCCGACGCGACCGGCACCATCTCCAGCAGCACCGGCAGTGCTGAGGTCGTCTACAACTACGGCGTATACTTGCTGTACAATATCTGCTACGGCGGCTGGGCCACCATCGTCGGATACACCTGGAACGGGCAGTCGCACAACCTGTTTTCGACCCCCAAGACCATCACGCTGTACTCCAACGGCGACGTACTTTCTACCACCTTCAAGCGCGACGTGCCGCTTCTCGCCGGCCGCTCCCTTAGCCCGGAGCTCAAGGTCGTCGGTGTGGATGGGGAGGGTCAGGAGCGCGGGATCCTCAACAGCGACGCCGATGGCAGCGAGCTCGGCGACATCGAGACCATCTTCGCCCGAGCGCGCATCATTGGCATGGACGGGGACGTTCTCTGGACCTCGGGCGATGAGATGATTAACGTCACCTGCCGCGCCGCGCCCTGGATAAACGTCGGGCCGGTGCCGCCCTCGAGACGACCGACAACGGCCAGAGCCCCGACTTCTCGCTGGGGACGCTCACCTGCCTGCCGGACTCGTGCTCCTCCGACAGCGGCAACGAAAAGCGCGCGACGTCCAACACATGCGGCTGGGTGCTACCCTACCTGCGGTACAGCGCGGACGCCTTCTCGGACACGCAGCTCTTAGGCTACCAGCCGGGACAGCAGGCGACAGACCTGGGGATCGCGCGCAACGTGCAGAACTTCTTCGACGCGCGGCAGCTCTCCAACAGCGGCCCAATAACGTTGACCTGGGAGCCGGCTGGCCAGAACGCGCGCCGCGACTTCGCTTGCACAGTGCCCGAATCCAGCTTTGGCACCAGCTACTGCGCCGTCGACAACTACCTCCTGTCGGCGAATCTTGGCCTCGACGCCGGCGATACCATCAACTTTCTCAGCTGCGACGAGTTTCCGACAGCCTCGTCCGAGGAGGGCGGCAGCTTCTTCGGCACACTAGCCACAGGCCCCACGGCCGTCATCGACGCTGTGCGTGCCGACGTGGCAGCAGTCGCTACAGGGCAGCTGCAACGGCCTAGTCGCCGACGTAAGGACCAACGTGGCCTACTTCGATGACCCGACGGCGACACCCAACTGGCAGGCCTGGGGCTCGGCCGGCAAGACGAGTATCCAGAGGGCAGCCGGCGGCACGAACCCAGGCTGGTTCAACGGCGCGTGGCAGCGCCTTGCCCTGTACCCGTTCCAGATCCCGAAGGCCAAGGACATCACGTTGGCCTTCTATGGACCCAACGCGGCCGGGGAGTACGGCGGCTACTTCCTCCGGCGCAACTTCGCCATGGGGCTGACCGTGCCCCGGTTTCAGAGCTGCTCCGTCATCTTCTCGGGCCCCACGCCCGCGCCGAACAGCAAGCGCGGCCTCAACTCCACCGGTGAAGCCAACAACGACGACGACGCTGTCGTCGGCACCTTCAACGGGTGGGGCGTGAAGAGTGAGTTGAACGGAAATCCTCCACCCCCCCTTTTTATATCACTCACTCACTCACTCACCACAACATACTATGTACTGGTCGCTAACTACATACCCTTTGCAGAGGTTATTATTCACGATGATCCAGACACGGCGCCCGACTTCGTCCCGAAGACTGCCGACCTGTTGCCGGCGGATATCATAAGGAAGGCGGCGTCGTAGGCTGGTGCTGGCTCTGTTTCGTTTCTGGTTGGGTTTGAGATTCAATGTAAATATTGGTATAACTAGTGAGAAAGACTAGAAAGACTTGTCTAATTAGGGTAGTAAGCGCAAAAATGAAAATAAAAAGAAAGCGTAGCACTTGTTCGGCATAAGAGCGCGAGTATGACCCGGTTTTCGAAACAGGGTTAGGGTCCCCCGTTTATTCTGGTTGCCAAAGACGCCGCAGCATTGAAATCCCTGTATCTGTTAAGTTTAGTCCTTGCCCAAACTCCGAAACAGTGAATCTTCAACTCGTTTTCAAGGGCCACTTATCCACGCAGTTACCTTAGAATAAGACTCAAAGCAGTCACTGGTAATCCTCACCTGCGCCCCGGCATCTCAATTTTCGCACTACAGCACACTCGTGACTCCCGCTCCATTCTTGTTCAGTACCTCATCATGTAGGGGGCCGAGCTATTGAACTAAGAAATCATAGGCACCGGGACTCAAATTCATCTAAACCACCTCTCCACCCACTTCCTGACGATTGAAGCCTCATTGTGTGTGAGATTGTAGCCTCCACAAAGCGAGACGGCGTTCATCAGCAACGGAAGCCAAGGGTGTCAGCGATAGAAGCAGCAGTAGCACAATGCCACATCACGTCGCAACAGCCAATTGGCATAGCCGCAGCGCAGCCACCTCAGAGCGGGCTAATGCAGACTTCACCAATTGCATCGACCTGCACCGA